CAGGAAGCAGCAGCAGCTGCAGACCCAGCAGCAGCAGCAACAGCACATACAGCAGCAGCAGCAGCAGAGGCAGCAAATGCAGCACCAGCAGCTGCCAGTGCAAGTGTAGAGGGACAGCCGCCGCCGACGCAAGTGTTGGCTGCGGAAGCTACGGCAGCAGCAGCAACAGCAGCAGCAGCAGCAGAATACGCATCCAAAGAAGATGCAGCAGCAGCAGCAGCGGCTCTGTCGACACCTCCATCTTTAAAGGAGCTTGTCGAGCTGGCGGCTGCTGCAGCAACTAGCAGCAGCAGCAGCAGCAGCTGGTACTCCCCTGAAAACCTGCGCCTCAGCGAAAGGGGCAACAGATACTTCTTCTTGCGGCAGCCGCCAGACGCAGCAGCAGCAGCAGCAAAACGCCTCGCCACTATTTCCCTGTCTCACGCTGGAGGCCTCTTTGACATATTCGAGCCCTGCCAGCAGCAGCAGCAGCAGCAGCAGCAGCAGCAGCAGCTGGCTGAGAAGCAGCAGCACGCTCCTGCGCAAGTCAAAAGTGAGCCCCAGTGGGGCGCCGAAGTAGCGCACGCCGCAGCGGCGCCACAAGCGCAGCAGCAGCAGCAGCAACAGCAGCAACAGCGGCAGCAGCAGCCCCCGCTGCTGAGCGAGGAGCTGCATGGTGTGGCTGCAGCTCGCGCCCGTCGGCTGCTGCTGCGTGGCCGCGGCAGCTGCATGCGGCTGCAGCTGCTGCAGTCGCTGCAGCTGCTGCTGCGGACAGAAACTCCTGTGCTGCAGCTTCTCGAGAGCCGCTGCCAGTTTTGCGCCAGCAGCAACCGCAGCAGCAGCAGCAGCAACATCCCCGCTAGTGTTCTTCTTCCCGAGGCCCCACAGCAAGAGAAGAACGCAGCATTGTGGCTTATGCATCATCTGCTGCACATTTCCTACGACAGCAGCAGCAGCAGCTCATGCTGTGGCAGCCATGACCGCAGCAGCAGCAACAGCAGCAGCAGCAGCAGCAGATCGAGCAGCAGTGTGGGGTCTCCCTTCAGCGAGACAGATGAGCAGTTTGCTGTCTTCGCCGTGCGCTGTCTCGGCAGCAGGTGGCGGCAGCAGCTAAAATGTCGCATGCAGAGTAGTGACAGCTGCAGCAGCAGCAGCAGCAGCGGCAGCAGCAGCAGCAGCAACAGGCGCAGCACAAGCAACGAGTTGGGGCCTCCCCGGAAGCGGCTGGCGTTTGAGCGGCTGCTGCGTCTGTCGCCTGCCGCAGCAGCTGCGGGAGGGCGCTCTGCTACCACAGCAGCAGAAGCAGCAGCAGCAGATGCAGCAGCAGCAGCGTCTGCTGCAGCTGCGTGTGTTGCAGTGCAGCAAGTCGGCAGGGTGGTCTTAATGCGCCGCTACTCCCCTAGCTGCTGCTCTGTGCTGCGGCTGTTTCCCTCAGCAGCAGCAGAGCCTTCTGTCGCTGAGGCCGCAGCAGCACCTGAAGCTGCAGCAGCAGCAGCAGCGGCGCCCGCTGCTGGCCGCAGGGGTGGTCGCAAGGGCCGCGGTGGACGGTCTACGGGGCAGCAGCAGCAGCAGCAACAGCAGCAGCAGCAGCAGCAAATGCAGCTGCTGCTGCTCCGCTGCTTCAAGGCGCAGCTCTTCCCGGGCCTTCTGCTGCAGGTGAGACCTCACTAACGGCCGGCAGCTGCGTCGCATTTGCTGCTGCTGCTTCGTTGAGCTTAACTCTGCTGCTGCTGCTGCTGCTGCTGCTGCTGCTGCTGTTACTGCAGGTGGACGGGGCCTTGCCTTCGCCCTTGCAGCAGCAGCTGCTAAGGATACAGGAGGAGTCCCTTGAGTCTGCGCGCTTGCGCGGTGGTACGACTGCTGCTGCTGCTGCTGCTGCTGTTGCTGCTGCTCCTGCTGCAGAATACTTCTAGCAGCCAAGCCGCCTCGGCTCAGTTGTAGTTTCTTGCTGTTCGGTTGGCGCTGCTGTGGCTGCTGCCGTATTCTGCTGCTGCTGCAGCAGAATTGTGCGTATCTCTGCTGCGTCTGTTTTTGCTGCTGCTGCTGCTGCTGTTGCTGCTGCTGCAGACTTCCTCCGCGCCGGCATCCCCCGGTGGCCAGCAGCTTTGGGGGCCCATTTGGCGCTGCCTTGCCGCTGTCTAATTCTGAAGCGATCTCCTGTGCATGGGTGAGTCGATCTTGCTGCTGATACTGCTGCTGCTGCTGCTGCTGCTGCAACTGGTGTTGCTGTGGCCGCGCGGTCTCGCCGGTTGCTGCCTGCATCCGGGTAGAAGAGCCGCCGCAGCAGCAGCAGCAGCAGATGGACTCGGAGCAGCAGCAGCAGCAGCAGCAACTGCAGCTCGAGCTGCTGCTGCGTGCGTTTCTCTGCTGCAGCTTTGGCGTTTTTGCTGCTGAGTGGCTGCCTGTGGGAATGCCTTTGGTGGAGTATTCGGGCGAGGTGTACGTACACCCCAAGCACAAGCGCTACCCGCCACCGCAGCTTGCGGAGTTGCGGTGAGCTGCTGCTGCTGCTGTTGCTGCTGCTGCTGCTGGTATTTCTGTGGATGGGGCTGCTGCACTCCAGTTTCTGCTGCTGCCAGCAGCGCCTTCTGCAGGGCCGATACAGCAACGGAAGGCCTGACCTCTGCTGCAGTAGCAGCAGCAGCGGCAGCAGGTTGAGCCAGTTTGGGTGTTTGCTGCTGCTGCTGCAGGGAGGCTCGCTATGACTGGCAGCACGGCAACTGCTACTGCTTTGCTGTTGAGGAGAATCTTTGCACCCGATACGTCGACGCAACAGACACGGGAAACTTAGCAAGGTCTGCTGCTGCTGCTGTTGCTGCTGCTGCTGTTGCTGCTGCTGAATGTGGCAGTGGGCGGCTGTCGGCCTCCCTCCTGTGTCTGGTGCCTTTCTTAGTGGTGGAGCTTCAGCAGCAGGAGCAGGAGCAGCGCTGCAGCAGCAGCGACTCGAAAGCGGCAGCACTAGCAGCAGCAGCTGCTGCTGCTGCTGCTTGTTTGCTGCGGCTGCAGGTACATCAACCACTGCTGCGAACCCAATGCTGAATCTGTGCTGCTGGGCGACAGCATTGTGGGCATTGCAGCACTCAGAGACATTCCCCCCGGAGAAGAAGTCTTCTACGACTACCAGTGTGTTGCTGCTGCTGCTGCTGCTGCTGCTGCTGCTGCTGCTGCTGCTGTGGCTGCTTGGTGCTTCTGCTGTTGGCTGTGTCGCTGTGCATGCGGCTGGAGTGCTGCTGCTGCTCTTTCTATTCTGCTGCTGCTGTTGTGCAACCCCAGCAGCAGGTGCAGACGCGCTGCTGCTCGGGTGGCGTTTCCCGTGAGTTCCACGCTGCTGCTGCTGCTGCACAGTCCAGTCCTGCTGCTGCTGCTGCTGCTGGGTCTGCAGCTTTTCGGACTCCTCCAAGGAGGCTTGCCTATGCCAGGCTCCTACCTGCACCGGCAGCATGTAGCTGCTTCTTTTTCGTTTCATTTGTTAATTTGTGTCTCACGTTCTGTCTCGAGTCCTTGCTGCTGCAGCTGCTGCAGCAGCTGCTGCTGCAGCTGCTGCTGCAACTGCTGCTGCTGAGTGGCCGCAGACGCCGCACACCCAGCTAGCTATCTGGCTAGCTGCGGCAGCTAGCTAGCTGCACTCTAAAGCTAGAGGGACTCTTTAACTTGCAGAGCTTCAGCTCTAAACACTATGCGACTGACGCAGCAGCAGCAGCAGCAGCACAGTTACAGTGGCGGCAGCAGCAGCACCGTTACAGTGGCAGCAGCGGGAGCTGCAGCAGCAGCATGAGCTGGAGTGTCTCGTCTCTTGCGCTTTTGCATGCACTGCAAGGAAACCCTTATTGAACATGGGCAGCAGCAGCAGCTGCCGCCCGCGGCTCTGCTTCCTGCTGCTCCAGCAGCAGCAGCAAAACCAGCAGCAGCAGCAAAACCAGCAGCAAAAAGCTACTTCTTGTTTTGAGTGTTCACCAGCTGCAGGTTTGAGTGCACCGGCTGCGCAACTGCTGCCAAAGAAGCTTCTATCTTAGTCACGCCCACGGCCTTCTTCGGCTGCAGCACACGCAGCAGCAGCAACAGCAGCAGCAGCAAAGCATAGATCAGCGCAGCAGCAGCAGCAGCAGCAAAGCATAGATCAGCACAGCAGAAGCAGCACTAGGAGCACGGAAGACTTAGCATGGGCTGCCGCCTGAGGCACTTGTAAAGCCTGGTGACGAGCAGCAGCAGCAGCAGCAGTAAGCAGCAGCAGCAAGTAGCAGCAGCAGCAGCAGCAGTAGCGCGCGTACGTCTCTGAGAATGCGCTGCAGCTTGTCCTTGTTGCCTCCCGGCTTCGCCTTCTGGGGTTTATTCTTTCGAGGTGCCGCAGCAACGGCTTTCCCCTTTTTCTTGGGGGGGCGCTGCACCATTGCTGCTGCTGCTGGTGCCTCTGGGCTTGCTGCTGCTGCTGCTCGGCGTTATGCTAATGCTGCTGCTGCAGTGGACCAGCTGCCCGCGAGCAGCGCAGCAGCAAGAAGCAGGAGTGAAACGCTGCGCTTCCTAGGCTTTCACGTTATTTCAAAATTGGCAGAAAATATTTCAACTTAGTTAGTGTTCTTTAGCTGCTGCTGCTGCTACGCATGCTGCTGCAAAGAGGCCGGCAACAGCCGCAGCCCCACAGCAGCAGCAACAAGCCCAACGCATGCAGCAGCGCCCGCCAGCCGCCTGCAGCATGCAGCTAGCACGGTCTGCTCCTGTGTAGCAGCAGCAGCAGCAGCAGCAGATTTGGCTGGGATCAGGCTGTCTCGGCGGAACAAGAACGGCACTGGCGTGTTCTGCTGCAGCTGTCCTGCTGCAGTGACAGCAGCAGCAACGGCGGTCCCAGCAGCAGGGCGAAACCCACTCTAAAGCTGCGGGGGATTCAGCAGCAGCACCTGCCCCTGCATCTCTTCGGCTCCAAGCGGCAGCAGCAGTAGCTGTAGCGCCTGCAACAGCAGCAGCAGCGCCTGCAGCAGCAGACACGCTCTGGGAAACTAACTGCTTCTTCCCGGAACGCCAGCAGCAGCAGCAGCAGCACGCAAGGCGTCACTCTCTCGAAATGGCTTCCCCTGAGGTGTCTTCGCCCCATATAGGGGTCAACAGCAGCAGCAGCAACAGCAGCAGCAGCAGCAGCAGCAGCAATCGGCTGTTCTTTGCCGGATCGCCATCTCCGCGTCCGGACGCCTTCACAGGCTCCCCAGCAGGGAAGGCCAGCAGCAGCAGCAGCAGCAGCAGCAGCCCCCCCAGCAGCTTGCTGCAGAGGGTGGGCTTCATAGAGAAGCAGGCGCATGCACGCAGCAGCAGCTGCTGCTGCTGCACTGACACACACGTGTTCGTGGGCGGGTCTGGGCTTGTGGGGACTGTTTTTGTGTGGCGAATCGTGCTGCAGTACGAGCAGCAGCAGCAGCAGCAGCAGCAGGAACAGGACCAAGAGCAGCAGCAGCAGCAGGGCCTCCAGTTCGTCGGGCTGCTGGGCCGCATGGCCTCTCAAGTCCAGAAGTTAATTCTCAATCCTCAGGGCGACACTCTGTTAGCTTTGACGCAAGCAGGGTAAGTGGCTGCTGCTGCTGCTGCTGCTGCTGCTGCTGGTGTGCTGCTTGTCGTGCCGCTGCCACGCCTGCTGTTGCTGCAGCTGCGGCCATTGCTTTTGCGTGCTAGTGCTGTGTCTGCTGCTGCTGCTGG